TATCCAACTTGCTCGCAGAATCAGAGGAGAGAGGGCTTAAGATTTGATTACAGGGATTAGTGTTCTGTAGAAGATTCACTGTTAGGGTTATGCACCAGTGTTTTAAGCATGCTATTGTTCTCTAGTAACCTGTTGTTTATCTACTGTTTGTTCATACAGTGAAATTATGGCTTTTGTAATATGAAATGTTGAATGTTAATTAAATCTGTTTGTCTTCATTGGCCATTTTTCAATGAGGCTAAAAATAGCCTTGACCGATCTCAAATTAGCGAGGTGCAATAATGTTCATATACCATCAAACGTTGCAAGATCAATTAACCGGTCTAAATAATGTCTTCCTTAACAATCATCATTATGATTAAGTGTTATGTCTTAACCTCATACTTTTGAGTACTGTAATAAGGGCTTCGCAAACAGCACTTTTCTTTTTGGCTTGAAGAAGACTACGCAAGATTGATATGATAAGCTCGCTATCAATATGCATACCAGTTCATGTTTCATCCCTGCGCATTGGAAGGTTGTGAAGATGATTCTTTACTAATGTACGGGTTCTATTGAATATGATATGTTTCTATGTTACAAGACAACAAAATCTACTTACTAATGTGGAAGAGTTGGAATTAGAAAGATTTCGAGTATTTAACTTGTGACCTCTCATTTATATTTGATATTTTTCGAAACTGTCTCTTCTATTATTTTTCAACCAAAATTTATTTTTAAAAAAAAAAAATATTTTTACTAACCAGTTAAAAACAAAATTTCCAATACTATTTTCTTTTTCGTATTTTTTAAAAATCAAACATTTCTACAGATATTTTATAAAAAAATTTCAATAAAAAAATATCAGAAGTTTGAAATTTTTTGTAGTTTCATGGGAAACTCAATTTTCAAAAAGCTACTAAAATGTTTGAAAATTTTAAAATTTTTAGTATATCGGAAATTTTGTACATACTGATAATTTCCGCTAGCGCAAAAAATTGTTTTACTTGTTTATTCTAAAGTTTGCATGATGTTCTACATATTACTGTACAGATATTACGTAGTTCTTCACACTGAAACTGTATGTTTTATATGTAACAAGTGTAATTAAATATTTTCTCGTCTCTATCATATTGATAATTTACTTTTAAATATTGTAAATGACAAATACTTGAGTCCCGATTTGAAATATTAGCATTGACAAAGACTAATGGTAAGCAACCTGATATTTTTCTTGTGATTATTTATTCTGATACTGCACATGAGAAGTCAGGTAGAAAAAATAAATTGATTATGGTTGTTAGAGAGGAAGAAACTACAAAAGGAAGAATACATATGAAATCAATAATTCCTCAAAAAAACATTTATAGTATGAAAGTTAAATATCATTTTAGGCTGAGATTTGTGCCAAGTGGAAGCGGTTGGAAGGTGATGGTTAGATGTCGGTTGCACAATCATAAACTATCTAAGAATTTTGAAGGCCATGACATATTGAGCTGTCTAAAAGATCATGAAAGACAGTTTGTAAATGACACGACGAAGTACAATATGACTCCAAGGTACATAGTTGCTGCTTAAAAAGAAAAAGATCCAAAAAACTTCACCAGTTTATCCAAGTGTATAAAGCTAGAGGTACATACAATGCAAAAAACAGATGTCAATTGATGAAAATGCAAATGTCGTTGAGTCTTATTAATAGATAAAAATACATGCCTTGGAATAGAAATAGGGAAGACCCAAATGTTGTAGTTGATATCTTTTGGACACATCCTGATTCAGTGAAGTTGTTCTATATGTTTCATTTGGTGTTGATTTCTGATTGTACATACAAGAAAAATAGGTTATGGCCATATTTTGATTTTTAATATCTTTTGGACATATTTTGATTTATCAGATTTTTTACTATGCATCATGATAATACAGGTACCGACTACCACGACTTGAGATTGATGGTGTTACATTAATAAAGTTGACGTTTTTTTGTTGACTTTGTCTATTTGGAATATGAAAGGGAGGAGAACTTCAAATGGGCAATGGAGAAGCTCAAAGAGTCGCTCTCTTCTAAAAATTTGCTATCGAATGTATGATGACAAACCAAAAACTTGCATTGATGAATACCATAGAAGTTGTGTTACCAAATTTAACTCATATGTTGTGTTCGTTCTATATTTTAAAAAACATTAGTATGAAATGTAAAGAATATGTTAAATCAAAAAGAAAAAGAATATGTCATGGATCTTTCGAACAACATCATGTATGCTAATAGAGAAACTGTGTTTGTCAAACACTTGAAGCACTTTGAGACTATTCGTGTTGATATTCTTTTATTTGTTAAGTATGTGAGTAAGACATGGTTGACACTTTATAAAGAAAGCTTTATTGTTGCTTAGTCTAATAGAGTCACTCATTTAGGGAACATAACAAAGAACAGGTACACATATGTCATTTTGATGTTATTACATTACTAAACATAATTTAACATATATTTATGTTTATGGTTTTTAGGGCGGAATCTGCTCATTGGAGACGAAGAAACATGTTGACTTAAAATCAGAGAGATTTATGCCGAAGTTAGGATGTTGCGAACACCATGTTGAAATTGCAACTAGGTTCAATCAAATCCGTTTCAAAAAAATATTGCTAAAATTGAGTATCGGCATAATACTCCACATTTGAAAGGAAATAGAAAGGGTAAAATTTGTTGGTGCAAGCCAAAACGCACGTGGTTGCTCCATTAAAACAACACATGGGTTTCTGTGTATATGTCAACTTGCTGGTTTCCAAATACAAGTCAATCTTGTTCCATTAGAACTAATTCAAGTTTTTGGGAAGAAATTACACATTAAAGAGCATGATGTCACTCATGAAAAAGTGGTATACAATTGGATTTAGAAGCAGGGTGAAGAGTTAAAGATATATTTCAATACTTTTGCTATTGTAAGCTAGAGAGTGTTGAAGAAAAAGGTTCAGAAACTAACACATCCATCCACAACTTCTATGTGTCCACCTTCAGTGAAGTACAAGTTAAATAGGGGAGTTAAGAAGAGCATAAATGGTCAAAAGAGTGACGCGCATCGTGATCCTTCACAGTGGGAATATGGTGAGGGCTCGCGTGAAAGTCAGACTACAAAGAGATCATGCACAAAACCAACTACAAGTTAACCGTCAATTATGCAGGCTAGAATATGGTGATGGGCGACACCCAAATGACGGGTTACCCGTCATGCACCTGGAGACGTTGACGGGCGTCAGCATTCTGACGGGGACACCATCATGGTCTCCTGGCTTACTTGCGAAAAAATATGATTCCTATCATGGGAGACTATTTGAACTCCAAATTTCGATCCTCAATCATCCTCACGCGTAGAAATCAATACCACATATTATAACATCATAACAACATGACAAATTACATAATTACACAAATCATTCATCAATTTCATGACTTTTTATACTAAGTTCAAACCTTCAAAATCTCATTAATGGCTTAACAACATAAACACAAACAAAATTATATGAACATGAAATCAGTCACAAAAATTGAAGATACACACCTTACATCATCAATTTGTAGAACATGTAACAACAACAAATCATGAGATTTGTGTATAATCCCTAAAGAGAGTAAACGTCTCTTTTCTCTATCATATCATGCAATACACTCATATCAAAGTTCTTTCTCACCCTTAACTTAGATTTCTTACGAAATTTCATAATGGATCATGGTTGTTCTTCCATATTCAAATTATAGCCTTGTTCTTGCCTCTTCTCTCAAAATTTTGTTTTCAAATACTATTCCTCAAAGACTCTACTAACTTTTCAACTTATCCTTAAACCTTATTTAATCCTTAAACCCTACACAAAGGCCCAACTCTTCTTCTTTTACTCACCACTTCTCTTATTTCCTCTTAATTCTACCCAAAACCTCTTTTCTCATTTATTTTAATTAATTAATTAATTAAAAACAATTATAATTTTAACTATTGTAATCCTTCTAATTTTTCTACTACCCTATCAATGCTCTTAGTACACTCCACCAATGTCCTACATACAGACACAACCCATAATACATAATTAATTATAATCACCTCAAATATTAATTAATTAAATAAAATACAAATAATATGATTAAACAATTAATCAAATAAAATACAAATAATATGATTAAACAATTAATCAAATAAAATACAAATAATATGATTAAACAATTAATCAAATTTCAAGGTGTTACATTCTATACCTCACAAAATCAACAAAGCAAATTTCAAGGTGTTACATTCAATACTTCAGAATATCAACAAAGCTTAACCACTATGGGACAGAAGCTAACAAGGCCAAGGCAGCCCTTAAATCATCAAAAGAACAAAAAACTTAAAGTAAGAAGCAGCTACAAAGTAAAGCAGCAATACTATAGTTGAGCTAAAGGTAACTTAGCACAGAGAACCACTAAAGAAAGGAGCCGCAGTACTAATTACATTCTCAAGATGAAACAGTGCATCATAAAACCAACTAATCTATTGGCTAAGCGTCCAAATGCAATTTGCTCGAGATAGGCCAAAACAAAGAGAAGATCGGCATATAGGTAACAAAGAAGAAACACACAAGAATAGTGTGTATTGGAGGCTTCATCAAGTATCAAATCCAGTTGAACAACATAGCTCAACAAAAATTCAATGATTCAGTGTCTTCATAAAGAACAAAACACAAGCACCAAATTGATAAAGCAAGTTTTGGCAACAAGCAAGACACAAATATAGAGTAAAAGCTTTTTAGCACAAAATTGTAAGACACAGATTTGTAACCCTTCTTTAGCTATATACTATAGCAACAATAGCAACCAATTCATAATGCCAAATTAATTCTACAATCTTCACACAACAAACTTAAAAAACGACATAATTCAATTTATAAAGAAAATACATAGCATATTAGAGCATTGTCACTGGAGGCTAATAGGTTAAGCTTCAAACCAGAATTATAAGCCTTCTACACCTAAGTAACATAAACCCTTGCAATCAAATTTAAGCTCTCTCGCCTCTGATTCTACGAGCAAGTTGAATATCCTTAGGCATGATAGTGACTCTCTTGGCATGAATAGCACAAAGGTTTGTATCTTCAAACAAACCGACTAGATATGCTTCAGCGGCTTCTTGAAGTGCAGAAACAGCACTGCTTTGGAATCGGAGATCTGTTTTGAAATCTTGAGCGATTTCTCTAACCAATCTTTGGAATGGAAGTTTCCTGATGAGAAGTTCAGTACTCTTCTGATACTTCCTGATTTCTCTCAAAGCAACGGTTCCTGGACGGAATCTGTGTGGCTTCTTCACTCCTCCGGTTGCCGGAGCAGATTTCCGAGCGGCTTTTGTTGCTAGTTGTTTCCTTGGAGCCTTGCCTCCGGTGGATTTGCGAGCGGTTTGTTTGGTACGTGCCATTTCGATCAGAAAGAAAACAGAGAGAAGATGTGTTTCGTTGATGATTGATGAGAGACAGATAGAAAGAAGTGATTGATGAGAGAGGAGTGTTTGGGTAATATATATTAGGAAAGAAAAAATTGTGGAAAAAGCGGGAATTGTAAATTTTCCGAATTAGAAAATTTGGGAAGATGATGATCGTGGATGAGAGGGATTATCAACGGTTGTAATTTTCTGAGGGAAGGGTGCGAGGATAATAATCCGTGGCATGTGAAACCAACCAATAGGTTTATTTCAAAAATATTGTTAACTTGTGGAGAATTGTGAGTTGAGTAATATTTTTGGATTATTAACCAAATAAATCTATTTTTTTATGGTTAAATATTTTATTAAAAACTCAAATTTATTTTCAATATTAAGTAATTTTAATTTAAATAATGGCATAATTAGTCACTAAATTTTTTAAGATAATTTTAAGTTTCATTTTAGTTCTTTGATATAAAAAAAGGTACAATTTCGTCCCTTAATATTAGTTTCGTTAGTATCATTGGTTTCTTCCGTTAGTTTAGCTGAGAAAATGTTAATATTTGCCAATGTGACGTGCCAACTAGGTAATAACTTAGTAAAAGCATAAAAAAAACATTTTTTAAGGGAACACTTGTATCAACACATGCTGATTCTTTCTTTCTTGATATTCAAACGTGATTCCAGGAAGTATTGGTGTGTATTTGATTCAAGTTGATTCTAGTCTCAATCTCATCTTGTCTCCTGGGTTTTATTTTTGTATGTGTTTGCATATGCGTTAAAATCAAGGTCGTGTTGAACTTTTATTTCATCTCTCTGGATCTTAAAGTTCAATTTCTAGGGTTTTAATCTTTCAAATGTCAAAGTAGTCAAGCAGTGCTTCTATTAAAACAACTGGATATGTTATTCATAGAAACAAGAGGAATGAGTGTTATTGCCAACATGAATGTGTCCTTTGTACTAAGGGTGACATGAACAACGTAAATTTTGGGGTTGTATAAATTACATAAATCATACGAATAAGAGTTGTGATTTTTTCAAATGGTTAGATGACGATATTGTTGATAAAAGGGATTTGAAGATTCAAAGACAAAATAAAAAAAATTTACAAATTGACGAATCAGGCCATCCACACCAGAGGATGGTTGAAAATGTCCATTGTGGTTGGAATTTTGAGCTTAGTGTTGAATGTTATTTTTGTAACAATGTATTTTTAGGTTGAGATTTTATCTGTCTATGAATTTATGTGTTTTTCATATGTGAAATGTATTTGTCAGGATTGCTATGTATGTTGGGTGTCTTTGGTTTACAAATGCACTTTTGTGTAATAAGTTTATGAGTGAAATGTATTTGTCATAACGTTATTAGTGAAATGTTACTTTTGTATCCCATAAACATATCAGAACAAATGTACTTTTGTGTAATTAGTTTATGAGTGAAATGTAGTTGTCATAGTTTGGAACTCTGTAACATAATCATAACATTCCATATCATTCCAATAATAAGTCATAACCATAACAAAAGTGACATTATAAGTCATAGGTCACAAACTACAAAATAGACATTATAAGTCATAAATCATAAACTACAAAATAGGCATTGTAGGCCATATGATTGACAAAACTGGCATAACTAGTATCAAAACATCAAAGCATAACTATTAGGGTTGGCTAAGAATAGGTTTTAGGCCTTTTTGAAGTCTCCATTTTTTTGGGTGGTTACTGAGTTGAAGGTGCAGTTAGTGTTGACTGAGTTGAAGCAGCAGACAGTGTTGGTTGACTCGAAGCAGCAGACAGTGTTGGCTGAGTTGAAGTAGCAACTGGTGTTGGTTGAGTTGAAGTAACAACTGGTGTTGGCTGAGTTGAAGTAACAACTTGTATTGGGAATCCACCTCTATAAAACACTCCACAAGTTTTTAAACCTTCACTAGAGGATCTTGTAAAGCAATTCTCCATACAAAATTTCCAATTTCAACAATGAACTGATTCTAGTATTTAGAATTTGGAGAAACAAATTGGACATTTTGTCACTTTAATGAATGTCATGCAGGCTTAAGGATCTAACCAACTACCTTTCCATAATGTGAGTGCAATTTCCTTGTGATTTGTAAAAAGTGTTGAAGCGGTAGAACTAGAAAAAAGTAAAAGATTTATTGAGCCCATGAATGGTTCTAAAGTTGTTGTTGAGAAAGAATATTTACCACCAATTCTTTTTCAATAAAGATTGGTGAAAACTGAGAAAATATTGGATGTATTCAGGAATGTGGCGGTGAACATCCCACTTCTTGATATCATGAACCAGGTTTCCAAATATGCAAAATCTCTGAAAGACTTGTCTACACATGAAAGAAGATTAATGGGAAATGAAAGATTTAACATGGGACGAAACCTTTCAGCTTTCATTCATCCTATGCATGTACCTGAAAAAAGACAAAAAGGGCCAGAAGGTTTCATCTCTCACTCATATTATATCCCCAAAAATAAAAAGACTCGTGAACTTTCTCTATTACAAGTACCATTGGGTATGGTAAATTCAAAAATTGCATGTTAGATTTAGGAGCTTCCATTAATATCATGCATACTTCTATTTTTAAAAATCTTGATCTTGGGTCCTTTACATAATACAAATCTGACCATCTAACTGGCAAGCAGAAGCAATGCCTGCCATATCCGAGTAGTGGAAGGTGTACTTGTTCAAGTTAATCATTTTGATTTTTCCTACAAATTTTTATATTCTAAACATGGAGGGAGAAACTAATTCAAAATCGAGCAAGGCACCCATCATTTTAGGCAGTTCGTTCTTGAAGACGGCAAAAAACAAAAGTTGACATCAATGAAGGAACAATGTCCGTGGAGTTTGGTGATATTACTGCAAATTAAATTTAACATTTTTTATGTTTTGAAACACCCCATGGAAGAACAATTTATTTTTCAAATTGATTTGCTTTCTGAATTAGTTGACGAAACATATTATGAGTTGTTTTCACTTGATTTTCCATCACTGTCTCATTTTGATGATACTTACACTCACCTATGTTCTATTTATGCTGAGACATAAGTCTCCTTGAAGGTTGGTATTTTCTCTGACTCTTCCATATACTTTTCCACAAACACCCTTATTTGTATTGTCCATGCAGATGAAACCCTTAACATTTCAGCCACCCGAAACAAATCATCCATTAAAAAGCCACATTCTTTAGATCTTAAACTAGTTTCTGACAATTTATCAAAGCTTGAATTTGAGAAAGAAGATAAGTTATTTCAAGATCATAAGAAGGAAATTGGATGGGCCTTGGTTGACATTCCTGATACTAGGTCGTCCATGTGTATGCACAAGATATCACTTGAAGATAGAGAAAAAGCAGTGAGGCGGACCCTTAACCTTTTGATCCTTAATGTTGTGACAAATGAGATCACTTTCACGTGCCCATTCAACATTTTCACATATAAAAGATCAATATTTGATCTTAGAATAAAAAGCGAAGATATTGATTAAAATTTCAAAGTCAATGAACATCGCCTCAAGCTACTACATGAGGGCCACACATTAGAAGAAGAAACTATTGAAGAGATTTTATTGGGAAAGGCCACTTATTCATCCATTTATCCACCTTAACTCCTCGGATTTGTTCTTTCCCCTATCTCCTCTCTCATTTTTTATGCTTGTTTCTATCATTTGGGATAATGTGTGTTTTAATGGTGGGTGAGAGATGTCATTTATTTTCTTGTTTTATTTTCTTTAGAAAATAATTATGCATGCTTTTTCTTTGGTTTTTATGGTTGCAAACGTGAGTAATTTCTTTGTTCTCTTGATTAAAGATTCGTGGTGTGATGTGAGTGATTTTATTTGCATTCTTAGTATAATAAGTGATGTTGAGTAAATCAAAAGAAAGTATTGAGTATCATATCCACATAGATGCCACGATATTACCAACGTTCAACAATTAATGTGATTTTAAGCGGAAGTTTTGCAAGATACTTGATTCGTAAGTTACCAAATGTAAAAACACATAATTAATAAGGATAATTTTCAGAGGAATAAGCTTGTTGGGACTGGATTTTCAGAGGAATAAGCTTGTTAATTCCTGCAAAACCATGAACATTCAAGAGTAACATCCTTTTAAACTTTTGTTAGTTAAGTTTCATCCTTAAAAGTTAATGGAAATACACATTTTGTTCAAGTTTTTATCAAAGATTTGTCAACTATTAGACTTCCATCAAATTTTCCCCAACTTAGTTTCTTGGATGTCCGCAATCAAAATCATGTGCTTTTTAAAAAATGTATTCAGGATTTTTAATCAAGTATTTGAAATAACAATTTGAAAAATGAATGGTTCAAATGATTACTTGTCAAACAAGAAACACGTTCAACTGGTTGTAGAATCAGAGCATGATTATGAACTTAAGCTCTCGCCCACAAAATCACATCATGTACTCAAAATTATAATGACACAACTCACTTGAATTTCCCTAACACTCTTCTTCATAAAAAGGGATGAAGACTTTGAAGCTTGTTTTAATCATGTGGTGTGATGACTCTCATCTAGTCATTTGGTCAACATCTGGGCCGATTCATGTTTTCATCCAAACAATTCAGTAATTTGAGCAAATGAAGGCATAAATCACATATGACTTGTAAAGGTTCTAATGTGGTCAGGTTTCACAAAGACATGGTTTTTCTCCTAAAGCTAATTTTCAAAAATCCGTCCAGTTTTGTAGCTTGTCATGCTTCACTCATTGCTTTATCACCATGCTTTTGACTTATATTTTCTTTCTTTCAATTTCTTTATGATACCAATTTATTTTGGATTTCTCCTTTTTTTTTTCTTTCATTCTTTTCTATTTTGGCATCTGATCATTTTTCTCCCCAACTTGTTTCTTTTCATGAGTGAATCTCCTAATGGCTCATATCTTTTTTGTTTAAGTTGTGAAAAAGAATTTTGGATTGGATCATAACTTTTCTTAGTGATTTTGTATTTTTCGAAATTTGATCGATCC